TGTGTGTGTGTCCCGGCAGGCCCGCGGTTCGGGAGCTGCTGAGGCCGCGGGCCGGGGCTCCGCTGTCCTGCCGCGGCCTGGCCGGCCTGGAGGGCCGCTCCCAGGCCGCCCTGCACCGCAACGCCTGCCTCAGGAAAACCTTCGCCAGCAGCTTCGCCGCCCTGAGGAAGAGGTCGGTGTGTGCCCAGATCAAGCTGCAGGCGGTGAGTGCCGGCACCGGGAGGCTGTGGCTGCGGGGCGGGGGGTGTGAGGTTGTGGCACAGAGCACCGGGACCCCAGGCTGGGACCCTGCCTTGGGAGCACTCCCTCAGCCCGGAGATCACACCCAGCACTGACCTGTCCCCACTGCGGCTGTGGCCATCGGGAGTGCTGCGCTGGCCTGGCCAGCCAGACTGTCACACAGGGAGAGCCACCCTGGCAAGATCAGGCATGGATCACACATGAATCACAGACGGATCACACACGGATCACACATGGGTCACACATGGATCACACATGGATCACACACATGGATCACACACGGATCACACATGGGTCACACATGGATCATGTACAGATCACACACAGATCACACACATGGATCAAAAACAGATCACACATCACACACAGATCACACACATGGATCACACAGATCACACACAGATCACACACATGGATCACACACATATCACACTCAGATCACACACAGATCATACACAGATCACACACAGATCACACACAGATCACACACATATCACACTCAGATCACACTCAGATTACACAAACACATTGCTGCTTTAATCCTCTTAAGTGCTCAGACAGTAACCGGCCCCTGGTGCTGGGCATGTGCCAGGCTCCTGCTGCTCTCACACTGAATTAAGTGTCCCAGCTCTCTTGGGGAGATGAGGCTCAGGCTCTACTGATTCCATGACCAGCCCATTTTGGGGTCTTCCCTGGCAAACCCCCTCCCCAGCATCCCTCAACCACGTTGATCTTTAATCCTTGCAATCCAAGCCATTCCATGATTATGAATCCTGGTGAATTTTCTGGCCATCACCTGAACACATGGGGTATTAGGAGGAAGGGTCCTGCTCACCACCTGCATTCACCCCTCTGACTGATGCTGTTCCCAACTCGGAGCTGACTCCTCCACCTGCCCAGACACCCTGCAGGTGCACAGGGAGCATCTCCCACTGCCAGCACGTGCTGACCCTTTGTCCCCTCCATCCCCTCTGACCTCTGCTGCCCTCCAGGATGCCTTCACCAACCTTCTCCGACGGTCCCAGCTGCACTTTGTCCACTGCCTCCTGCCAGGGATGGGCCAGGAAGGGCCAGTTCCTCGGCCCCCGGCGCCGCCGGACGCAGCCCCACAGCTGGATGTGGTGGCCCTGAGGACACAGCTGGAGGGGATCCAGCTCCTGGATGCCCTGCGCCTCCACCGTGTTGGTATGTCCAGACCCTGCCCTGGCCCATGCCCAACCCACCTGCTGCTCCCTGCCCCTTCCAGCCTTTGCTCATTACCTGTGTCTCACCAGCAGGCAAAGAATCCCCTCCTTCTGAAATTCCCCATTCAGAAATTCTCCTCAATTTTTATTCCTGCTCTTTGCAGGGGTTCTGAGACCCTCTCATGCCTGAGCTCTGTGGCCACAACCACGGCCCACGCCATGGGGAGAGGGAGCTGTGCAGGAGTCCCAGGCACATGTCCTGTGTGACACGAGGTGCTGGGCTGGCATCTGGCCACCTCAAACTCATCTCGGTGCCCTCTCCCTGCCCTCACTGCAGGGCTTTCTCTTTCATGGCAGCTCCCCATGTCCCCTCCACCCCCAGAGGCCTTTGCTGTGCACAGGATGGCCCAGCAGGTCCCTCCCCAGCGTGCCAGTGCCCTGGGGCTGGTGCAGCCCCCAACACCCCTGTGTGCCCCCAGGGTACTCGGATCGACTGCTCCTCACCCAGTTCCGCAGACGCTTCCAGGTGCTGGCTCCGGAGGTGATGAAGAGGCACAGCTCTGCCTACGAGGTGCCAGATGAGAGCAAGGTGTGTGCTGGGCTGGGGGGCACGAGCTGAGACCCCCAGTGGGGCTGGGATGATGCCAGAGCTATCCCAGCAGGACAGGGCACCAACTGAGGGCAGGTCTCCCTGGCTCACCCAAAACCTGGGACTGAGGACAAGCCAGGCAACATTCCCAGAGACCCAAAAGAGATTCCACTGTGGAATCTTCTGTGGTCTGGGCATCACCTGCAGCCCAGGGTGACTCCTCACCTCACCTCACCCCATGATGGTGAAAGCCAAAAGAGCTCAGGAAGGAATCTGGACCTGTGCCAGTTTTATTTGTTTCCTAGTAAATCTGTAGCAAAACCAGGGCAAAGCCATGCCTGGAATAAGGCTATGGATGAGCCACGAAGAGCTGAGAGCAGCTGAATTAAAGCTGGGCACGTGCTGTGTTGTGCAAACTGCAGCCAGCACGGGCAAAGGCAGTTAAGACCTCGGGATTTAATAAGACAAGTCTGACAATTGGGAAAGGTCAATATTGCTATGAAATGCTGTCGGAGGCAGAGGGTGCCTTGTCAGCAGCATGTAAGCAGGGGATTTGGAAAATCCCATCCTCCCCGGAGCTTGCTGCCACGAGGGTTTGTTAGCTGGGAAATGCTTCCCAGGACATGGCGTTAACCCAGAGCAGGTGAGAGGCTTGTCAGCTGTGAGGGGACAGTGCAGCAAGAGCTGGCCCTGTGCTTGTGCTGGGATGGGGCTGCACAACCCTACACCAGTCCCAGCAGTGCCACCAGAACAGCCACAGCACTGGTGCTTCCTCACCCTGGCACGGTGTTTCAGGCTCTGTGATCCATATCCTCATTCCCTGCTGTTCTCCATCCCCTCATTGCACTGGTGAGGCCAGGGGTGCAATTCTGCTGCTCCTGTGCCTGTGGTGGAATATTCCTTCTGTGGATTTGCCCTTTGGGGAGGAGCTGTGTGAGGCTGCTGGATGATGTTGTGTGGAGTGAGATACTAGCAGCGGATTTTGTTACAATTTCTGTAGCCCTGGGGCTGTCAAACCACCCATCCGTCCAGACAGTGTGGCTGCCGCGGGGGAATGGCTGGTGTTGCTGGCTGCTACAAAGCTTGGAGTAATTGAGTTTAGGCTTCTCCTTGCTTGAATCCTCCAGGAGTTCTGTACTGTGCTGGTGGGCTCAGGGAAGAGCTCAGCCCTTCCCCCTGTTTTTGGCTCTGTGGGATGAGCTGTCAGTGAGGTGGGCATGGAGGATGGTGCTGGGACAGGCACTGTCCCCTGTGTCACCTCCTGCCTGTGCACCAAGGCTCTGCCAGACCAGGGATAGCAGCAGAAGGAGAAAAGTCTTGCCTGCAGCTGCAGATCTGTACTCTCCATCCTGCTGAAAGCGTCGGGGGAGGAAAGTCCTTGCACTGGGACTTGGCTATGGGCAGCTGGGCTTTGGCAAGGGGAGGAGGAAAGGAGGGCAGAGCTGGATGAACCCTTACTGCGTGCCCATGAGGTCTGAGGGTCTCTGTACCCCACTTCAGCAGCTCATAGCAGGGTGTGGGTGTTTCCTGAGCAGTCCCATGATGTGCCCCTTCTCCACAGGCTATCGAGGAGCTGTTCCAGGCGCTGGATCTGGAGAAGAAGAGCATTGCCATAGGACGCACCCAGGTACGATGACTGTGCCCTGCTTCCCCGTTTCTCTGGTGCATGCCAGGCTCCCCAGCAGCCCAAAGTTCCCCAGACTGGGAAGAAAGGCTCTCTTTCACTGCTGCATGTGGCACCAGGTGGGCTGGGAAACTGAGACTCGTTAAATATCAGAGCAAAAGACTCCTAATTCTCATCTGAAAGCAGTACCCAGGGTAAATCCTGTACCTAATTACCAAAATCCAGCCAGGCCCTGGTGGTATTTATGTTCCTAATTACCATTGATGTCTCCTGGGAGCGAAGGGGGCTTGGGCAGCTCGTGGGTTTGCTGCCGAGCAGGAACTGTGGCAGCAACAACATTTGAACTTCATTGTGATGTGTCAAAGAATAAATTAATTTCACGTACGCGCTTGCCTTCAGCTCCAGAGTTTGCAAAGAAAGAATTCATGGAACGGTTCTGTGGAGCAAAATGACTTTCTTTTATCCTGCAGTGTGCAGTTTGTAATTATCTCCTCTCTGGAACCCTCGTTCTTAATCAATAGCACGGTGGCAGCCCCGGTCACATTTCGTTAGGGACGAGTTCGCTTTGCCGTCGCTTTGAGCATTGATTTTGTACCAGCTGTGAAACTCACGGGGCTGGGGAGTTAATTCAGACATTAATGAGGCAATCGAATGGGTGGTGGAGCAATCATGGCATCAGCTCCGGAGAGCTGCTTTCCGTGGGATTGTGCTTTGATTCAATTTGGCATGGTTAAAATGCAGCTCTCTCAGCACAGCCCCGGCCTCGCCCGTGTTGCTCAGGGGTTATTAAAGCTGGGCCATGCCAATGGTTGGGAGATCCTGATCCTGGATTCCAAGAGCTTCTCCCAGGAGTGACCTAGAGACACTTCAGACACTCAGAGATCGATACCAGCCTGTGTTTGACACAGCAAATCTGTGTCATTTCTGAGGTGCTTATGACCAGTTCAGAGAAAGAAAACAATCTGGTTTATTTTGGTTTTGTTATTGTAACACATCGTTGCTGATTACCTGTCAGAATCCACTGTCAGTGGAGGTATCCATCCATCCATCCATCCATCCATCCATCCATCCATCCATCCATCCATCCATCCATCCCCACAGTGGGGGGAACGGGCAGCATCCCATGGGAATATTTTGAGGAATTGCACCTTGTGATGGTCGATGCCTCTTCCAAGCAGGAGGAGGGGGAGGTTTCAGCCCTGACCTGGGGGGTGTAACCTGTTCCTTGCTGCCAGGTGTTCCTGAAGCCGGGGGTCATGGCCAGGCTGGAGAAGCAGCGGGACAAGCTGATAGCCCAGAAGATGACTCTGCTCCAAGCTGCCTGCAAGGGCTTCCTCAGCCGACAAAAGTTCAAGAGATTGAAGGTACCATCCTGTGGGTTGGGGATACCTGAGCTCATCCAGGTCAGTGCTGCTGGGATATGGCCCACAGCACCCAAATAACAGCTCTTTTGAGCTCCTTTGAAGCGTCCCAGCTTTTCCCTGCAGCCATGAGGTGCTTTGCTGCCATCCCTGAGCTCCTCTGCCCCCCTTTCCTCTCCAGCCCGGTGTCCCAGCCCAGCCCTTCCCGGCGGTCCTGGTCCCAGCTGGGTGAGGTCATCGCTGCTGTGTCCCCCCAGATCCAGCGCCTCGCCATCCGCTGCATCCAGAAGAACCTGCAGGTGTTCCAGACAGTCAGGCACTGGCCCTGGTGGCAGCTGCTGAGCCACGTGCGGCCCCTGCTCAGCGTTAACCTCGCCGAGGAGCAGCTCCGTGCTAAGGAAGTGAGTGCCAAGGGCTGGGCTGGGCTGGGCTGGGCT